TTTGCAGTAAACTTTAGTTTGCATTCTCAGTCCTCTGGACTTAAAGGTTTTTATCTGTGTTTGTGTTTGTCCTTTTGTGAATGTTGTCTGCCAGTATATAAATAAAAGTGTATATACTCAACTCACAGTCCTCTTTAATTTCTCAGTCAGGGGAAATTAGGGGGATAACAAAGTTATGAAGATTTTAAACGCATTTTTTCTAAGGAATTTAGACAGGGACTGGGGGGAATTGACACACGGAGGTACAGTTGAACCTCGATAATTCAAACCTCCCCAAGTCTAATTATTTTAAATTCCCCATCTGAATTCCATTGGAGAAAAAAATGCATTAAAAACCTCTCGAACTCGAAGGCTTTTCCTCTCAAACCTCCGTACATCGAAATTTCCAAGGCCTTTTGGCAATTACTTAATAATAATAATAATAATACTGTAACACAAGAAAGAGAAAAGCAATCAAAAAAGTAACCAGATCTGTTTTGAAATGAAGTGAAAGACAAATTAGCAAATGAGTCCTTGCACAAATGTTCAGCATTTTGTCAACTCATTTTAACAGCAATTTAAGGCCCAGAATATCGCCATTCACAATTCCTCTATAATTCCCACAACAAAAATGTTTGTTTCCCTAAATTAAAACCTCCAAAACTCAAAACATCTCCAGGTCGAATTTCAAGGGACGAGCAAAAAATAAAATTCGACTTGAAGAGGGTTCGACTGCATTTGAAAGAGAGGTCTGACTTATCGAGGTTCGACTGTAATTTCGAACATAAATTCTCAATTTTCTTTTTCACAGAATATTCCCACTTGCTTCTGCTGCTGGCCACCCGCCAACCCCAATGCGTACGAAAGAAGCATATATTATACAAAAGACGATCACCAACAATATACAGAAGTACGCCATGTACAACAGGAACCCATTCCGAGAGAGGCGTACGCAATTAACGCGGAAGGTACTTGAATTTAAGCGAAACCCGCAGCGGGTTCCGTGAAACTGCGGCGTGTCCAGAAACGGGTAACACAAACCCCCCCCCCCTCCTCCCCAATAAATATTAAAAATATTTATGCACTTTTGTGCTTGTTATTCCGGAAGCGGACACAAACTTCAAAGCCACCCCCCCCCCCCCCCCCCCCCCCCCCCCAATAAATAAAGCTATAATAATAATAATAATAATAATAATAAATAACGAGAAACAAAAACCTTTCCTCGCCCGACGCTCGTCCCGCACGCCTTCCAAATGTCTGTTCTGCACATTGATCACCTCGTCGCCGTTGGCACACCCACTGTACCCGTCCAGCAAGTCCTGGTTCACCGTTATGAAGCTCGGGCCCCACTGGAACTTGCTCATCAACCTCTTCGCCGCCTCGGGCAATCCTGTATTACGTGCGGACCAATTAAAGCAAATGCGAACGACTGACACGCCAACAACGTTTCGCCAACTTCATTTGCATGCGGGTACGAGAGTTTACGCAGGGGCCCTTTCCGGGGTTTTTAATGATTATTGGATAACGCGACGAGAAGTCACGACCTGCCCCCGCATGCACGTAGGAATCTGTTCATCATGAAAGTGTATACAGGAAAGTCGGGATTGCCTAATCCTCTTTAATCTTTTATCTTAAGCCACTCACAGCACAAAAGATTCCCTGAAGATTATCACGAAAATTATCTGGCCTTGATTTAGGAATCTCCAGAAAATATTTCCAAAAATATATACTGTACATATATACAGTATGTACTGTGTAGGTAGAATCTTTCCACAAAGAGCTTGACTATACTGTACAACGATTTTTTTCTCCGTGAAACAATTTTTTTTTAGTTCCAGAGGATTCTCTCCTCATGTTATAATAGGGGTTCTTTGCAACAAAATTCTCTCTACAACAAATTTTCTTCTGGTCCCTTGAGTTTTGGCGTGGTCTTGTGGGATTTGTTGCAAAAATAAATGGCAGTTGTAAATTTGTCACACAAAATTAGAAAACCGAAATTCTTAGTAGAATCTTCTTTCATTTCATCTCTGTGAGAATCTCAGAAGACCTTGGTTCTCACGTTTCTTTCTGAGCCTCCAAGGCTACATTTTATTGCTAAAATCCTGTTACTGTTTTTGGTCCTTGAAGGAAAGTTTTCCTGTTTTCCAAATTGGCAAGAAAACTTCACTTCCATTCAAGCTCTGGTGAGATTCACTCAAAGATTTTATGCTTGAACCTTCTTGTTTGTGAATTGGACTGTTGTTCACTAGTATTTTTCAAGTACACGAACCTTAAAATAGGGTGAAATTTCACCCCGGTTGCAGCCCAACCAAACTCTGTTGTTTATTTCATTTAACTAAATATTCATAAACCTAACCTTCTTCTCAAAAATCAGCATTTGTTGAAAGTTTATTCTTGACAAAATTTTCTATCCATGTTACAGAAGTTTTCTGCGACGAACTTTTCTCTCCAAAGATTCTTTTGTTCTGGTCTCTTGAGTTTTATTGTTGAAAGAGTCCACCTGTATCAGATTATTTTTTCAACAACGCTTCCCTCCCATATTTCTGCATTCACGCATTTATCTGTCAACCACATTCAAGGTAGAGCGCGCATTACTGTACTTTAAAATGGGAGATCGAAAATATTCTGGTTGAACTACCGCAGTTGAATCAGGATAAGTTTTTGGGGATTGGTTATGAACGTTCACGTAAACTCACTAGGTGAGGAATAAAGCTATTTGAGCTAGACATCAGCTTATATGCACTTCTTCAGGGTCAGCAAGCACTCAAATGCTGTATAACCTTGGGACAATTAAGGTATGCGATTTGTCATGTTTATGAAGTCTTGATTGTTGATTTTCTCACGCAATGAGTTTATACTTGAGAATTAATTACTTCAGGGTTTCCATGCATTGAATCAGGATATTTTTAAAACATATTCCAGACTGGGTTCGTAAGACGTTAGACTGGGTTTGCAAGTGGTTGAGTTAAAGTAAGAAATTCTTGATTTACAGTATTGTTGAATAAATCAGATCTCAGGTGATATTTAGCATCCCTTGGTTTTGGTTAGTTTAGCATTAGGTAAAAATAATAACAAGCTGAAGACCTTGTGCTTTAAATTAATTTTTACATATATTTTGTTTTCATTGTCAGGGAATGAATGGGTGTATGCAATCTATGCATACATGTTGGATGTCCAGTTGTATTTTGTGGATTGTATTTTTTTTCATTTTTGTCATCAATTTGTGCTCTATTTCCTGCTTTGAAGTGATTAAATGTCTTTGAGTGGGTTTGGGTTGGGTGGGAAAAGGGGTTTGGATGTGGAAATCTTGATTGAACCTTGTGAACACTGAAAAGCGGCAAATTAAGTGTTCTGTTCCTTCATTCATTCATTATTCTTATATACTTTTCAGATCCATGTCGGTTTGTTACTATAGTTCTGAAGAAAACCATAGTAACGGAATCTCTCGGACTCAGTCTGATGGGCAGTCGGTGAGTTCACGCCTTCATTCTTCATCAAAAACTTTGAATCTTAGTGATGCGCCATATGTTTACCAGAGATGAACTTCAACGTTATATAAGCCCCTTACATTGTGCGGGATTTATTCCCTCTTTAATGTACTCATAAACTTTAAAAAATACAGTAGATTAAACCGAATCTTGATCTCGTTTCCATCATGCGCTCATCGGATAAGGCGGACGGAAGGAGTTTTTGTTACCTGGGTGGTGAGTACAAAAATACCTTGAAGTCCTTGATCTCTTTGATCGCAAAATAAATGCATTATCCCAACAAACAAAAAACAGTTCATTTCAGTACTATCTTTAAAGTAGAGTACGTTACTTTGGATGATGACAGCCTGGTTTTTTTTTTTTTGAATATATTTTGTCATCCGTTCTGACGTACGAGGTCTTCATTCGCGGAGTCTCCTCTTGACAAATGTGCCCCCACGTGTTCAGGCTGCCGTGGAATCGAATTTCCGGGTGAACATGCCCAGTTCTTGATGTGATTTGCCGTGGATTTTGAGAGGAAAAGGCTGTACTGCACGTCTAACCCTCGTGGTTTTTTTCAAGGGGTTTTTTTTATTGTCAGTTCATTTACAACTTATCCCCATCAGGGGCGAAGCAGCATCAGGGCTTGGAATATTTCAAGAGACAAAGAAGGAAAAAACCTTCTCGAGATTCGTCAGATCCGACATGAAAAGAGCGACGGCTTTCCTTTTCTTTGTTCCTTATTCTTTTGTTCTTGTTGAAATGATGATGAAGTAGGAAGTTTCTTCACGACTGCTGAAAAAGCACTGACAATACGACGACGGGCATATGTTGTAACGACGACGAGTGCGAATCTCGGAGATTGCTTCTGCATTTTCTGTTTTGCTCGTGTGGGCGGTTCTCTTGTCAAAACTTTTTGAAGCACCGATGTACCGAGAACTCGAGCTGAAAGCTGCGCAATTTCAACTTTGATCTCGAAATGCGTGCAATTCCGGCTGAAAGCCGAAGATAGTTTCGTGCACGAGCAAATAGCAGAACACGTGAAGTTTTTCCTTTGAACGTATTCAACTCGGAATGATTCCTCTTGTATGCTCAAAGCTCTGACATGTATCGAGGAGTTCCCAACATTACCGAGACATGTTTCATGATGATGTTCATGCTAATGAACCGGATATAAAACAAAACAAAAAATATGACATTTTTCGCGTTTCATTTTTCGTCTTATTGGCATCTTGAAAATTGTCTTACTATTTTCGAGTCTCGGCATATAGAATTCCGAATGACGGGAAAGTTTTCGTGGTTGGCTGTTTATAATTTGAATTATTTTTTTCAATTCGAGCAAATATCTTTTCTGATCGGTCGACCTTTTATTTGGAATGAATGTATGAACAGAAAGCTTTACTTTCTGCTTTTCAGCATTCACAAAGTTCAATAAACATTCCCACATCCAAACCCCCTCCCCACCCAACCCAAATCCAATCAAAGGTATTCCATCACTTTAGAATGGGAAACAGAGAAAATAGCTGCATATGGATAATCAAATGAAAAGAAAATACATTCCACAAAATATTGTATTCCGAAAGATGAGTAAAATGAAGTCAAGAAATCTTAGAATAAAATATGGCAGAGTTCCAAGATCGAGTTCTAGATATTTTTTATTCATCCATGTGCGCTTATAAGCAGCTTTTTTGTTTTATAATTTGCAATAAAGGAAAGTGTGGATGCTGTTAATGACGTGAAATCCGCATTTGAAGAATAATTTGCAAGCAAGGAGAACTCAAGCTACTTTTTGTGCGAAACTAATCAACTATTAAAATAAATAAATAGTGATTATACCGACAGTAATACACGGATTGGAAATTATGATCATGTCATTGCATTCAAGAGTGTAAAAATTTATTATTCGGAAGATATTCGAATCGATTTTTAGTCGTAGGTCATCGTTTCTAATATGCTTATAATCACCCTCTAATTGAATAAACCCGTTTTAAAAATGGCCTTCATGCTCGTTTCCATTGTTTCATAAATCATACGCGGGTGAATTTCCTGGCAAACTGCAAGTGATACTTTCGATAGGCCAGATGGGGCTTCGATGAATGGCAAACCCAAGAATAGAACAGAAACTTTCAGCATGACAAGCCCTCATCCTGGTTTTCGCTTACATGTAGCCCTTGCCCTTTTCAAGCCACGTTCAACAAACGGGTTGCACTGGGCTATTATGCAAAGGAATATGTAGCTGAATTTCTTTTCTTTTTTTCAACATTTTTGCATTGCAGAAACCCGGAAGCCTGGCGTCGCGCAACGGGAAAATTCTTCAGGGTGACAGGATCCTTGAAATAAACGGACAAGACGTGCGGAAAAAGAGCCAGGCGGACGTTTCAAAGCTGCTGCGCGTAAGTAACTAAAAGCATTAGGGAGGGCTAGTATATTAGCTTTTGCCTCTTTTCTTTCGTTTCTGTGTGTCTTATACGACTCTTAGACCGCGTTTCTATGCTCGTTTCGGAACTCTTGTCACGCTCAGGGCACTCAAATCTTGAGGGAATAGTATAGCCTGCGTTCCTCTAATTTCCGAGTGGACTCACTTGAGTGGACACACCAGCAAACACACTTGAAGGCACGTTTTGATCAGGGAACGAAATGACGATGTAGGCTTTACAAATCTTGAGGGAATAGTATAGCATGCGTTCCTCTAATTTCCGAGTGGACTCACTTGAGTGGACACACCAGCAAACACACTTGAAGGCACGTTTTGATCAGGGAACGAAATGACGATGTAGGCTTTCTCTTCTGGTCCGAAGCTTGACCAAGGATTTAAGGAAATATGAAACTATATATATAGGAGAGGCCGTTATCATACATCAGATGGACACATGTTCAATCGTCCGGTAAGAGAACATTTATCATTTGTACAACCGATGGAAAGGGGGAATTCATTGCCGCAATCAACGGAATTTCTAACTGATTGATGTATTTGATATTTCTCTGAAATGATATATTTGATATTTTTTGAGATGATATATTTGATATTTCTTTGAAATGATGTATTTGATATTTCTTTGAAATTATTTATTTGATATTTCTTTGAAATTATATATTTGATATTTCTTTGAAATTATTTATTTGATATTTCTTTGAAATTATATACAGTACAGTATTTGATATTTCTTTGAAATGATATACAGTATTTGACATTTATTTAAAATTATATACAGTATTTGATATTTCTTTGAAATGATATACAGTATTTGATATTTATTTGAAATGATATACAGTATTTGATATTTATTTGAAATTATATACAGTATTTGACATTTTTTGAAATGATTTGATATTTCTTCAAAAACGTTCCTTGACGCCATTAGCATTTAAAATTGACAATATATGACTTGATTTCAGTATGAAATGAAAAAATGTCAACCGATTCGGCATAATTTCTAATTGCTAATTTTTCAGATCGGGAAAAAACTTCGACACTATGACCCTGTCTGCTACATAAAACAGATAAAAATTAAGGGCGATAATTGATTAAATTTAATGAATCCGAAGATTATAATTCTGGCCATGAAATATCTCTGTCTAGGAGAAAATAAATTTTCGGGGCTTCTGCAAATTATTTTGTTGGGAACACGTCGTATCAAATAAGAGAAATCCCGTGAAATTATTTCACAACATTTACGTGGCCAAATTCAGAAACAGACGTTGGTTTAAAATTTGTCCCATGTTTCATATTTCGGCTAGAAAACAATAACTGCATGCTGTTTATAGAGATTTGCAATTTTTAACTGTGAGAACATCAGCATGGGTGTCAGCCAAAAATGTTTTACAAAAAGTAGTGATTTAAGATTATTGAATGACTTGGAAAAAAAAGTGCCGTCAATGATCAGGCGAGGAATGCAAATATAGTACGTATCCATAAATTGAGACACGCATCGAACGATCGGGTGTCGAGTTTTTTTTTTAGCGTAAAATTCTGCAGGAACACTGATGGGGGTTGAGGGGCTTGATCCATTGTCTGTTACTGTAATTCTGTTGGGATGTATTGCAAATCAAGCACTCTTTGCCAAGGGTGGAAATTATCCACTGATTTTTGAATGGTATGCGGACAATTTCGAATTTGCGATTTAGGATAGGCATAGCAGAATTGACAGGGATTTGAAGAATTAAAATCTCTTCAAGCCCTCAATATTTTGAGCCATCATTCATTTCGTGATGTTGAAGATTAACTTTAAAAAAAAATAATGCCAAAAGACGTGCGCTTGTCTCGTTTTAAACGTTCAATAGAAGGGAGGGTCTATAGAAAAACAGCAGATGAGCTCAATCGGCGGAATAAATCTCACGAAAATCATTTGCAAAAACATGGCTACGTAGTGTGTCTCCCCTTTTGATCCCCCTCTATATTTTATCTATTTTACCACTACAAATGTTGGCCTAGATCTCACCAGGAAGCGGCTGTGAGGATACTTACCACAACAGAGCATAAAATCTCATGAATAATGCGCATGCATGCATCCTAAATTGGCAAACGTGTGGTATGAATTATTTAGCCGTTTCCCAAGAATATCACGCTCTAAAAGGGTGACTGACGTTTCTCCACCCCCACAGTACAGTATTCTGTATGATGCTCTCTGGTCTAAGTGCTCTCTTTTTAGTCTGTATATGTATATACTATGTTCTGTTGAAATCGCAACAAGGACCTGGAGGGAGAAGTCGTCATTGTTTTCGGGCGAGTTCCGAACAAGGCCATGTCAATTCAAGAATGGTCTCGCCAAAAGGCAGCTGCGTTGAACTCGGACGTGAGTCCGGATCGAACCACAGCCGTGAGGTCCCGGGCTTTCACATGGTCCTACGCTTCTCCGGCAACATCGACCCCTTCAATGCGCTCAAGTTCCGACAAACAAAACAAGTAAGTTTCGCAATTACTTCCCCCGGAAATAGAATACTTGGGATGAGATCTAACCAAAGAATAGCGGCTCTTCTGCGTGATGACGCAGCTTTCCTATTCAGAGATCTTAAGAATAAGAAGTTGTATACATATGTTCAACTCACTTGGTATGAGTATATACCGCCGTATAGGTTGGAATATTTTTAGAAATTTCGTAGCGTTCTTCTTTTGCGAAGCGAATGATCCACTTTGAACATTTCCATTGAAAACTCCGAAAGTCCAAATTGATCTCGGGGTCTATTTTTGTTGTTATATTTTACGGAGCACGCATCACGTGAAGATTAAGTTTTCGATGAGGAAAATAGCTTAAGGAGCCACATTATCTTCTGAAACAAAACTTTAATATTTGTTGTTTAATTTCAACTGGTTTTTCTATAGCGGAGCATATGATTCGCCGTGAACATTTCCGACGAAAAATAAAAATGTTCAAATTTTCCACGGTTTATATTCTTCTGGTCATTAATTTTACGTCGCACAAACGTAACTGTTAGGTTTTCAACAAGAAAAATACGGTAAGGAGCCAAATTATCTTCCGAGACAACATTTTAAGTTTCTGCTTAACAAATCATTCCAGAAATTGAATTTCATACATTATTTGCTCAAGGACCAGGCTTCCTCAAATAAGATGCAAACGTTAACTTTTTGGCCGAAAATTTGCACAGAAACTAGTCCCCAAGAAGGTGTCCACCTAGTTTTTTTTAGCAACGTGCAGCTAAAATATTGGAATGCATATACTGTACCAGCAAAAAATAAAATAACTACGTTTGAGATAGACGCATATTTAACCTGAAATCATATGATTCTTGTCCTTTTTGTATGTCATTGTCCACTATCTTTAAACTTATTCTCTAATTTCTCTCAAGGAAATTTTGTTTATTTGGCATACCTAGTGAGCAAGATATTCTCCGTTTCTGGTCCAAAACTCACCCAAACCAACATATCAAAGAATTTTGCCAGAAATGGACATGTTTTGGACATTTTTTTGATGAGTTTTTGATTAAAATTGGACAACTTGTCCAATTTTCATCCAAAAGCAGTTGTTTTTTGGATGACTTTTGGATCAAAAAGCCTTGTTCACCAGAGGAAAATTTTTGGGACAAGTTCTCCAAAAAATTTCCATGAAACTCATTTGGTTTAGTTTCAGACATTTGTTTGAGTACTTTTTGTTCACTGGGTGATAAGCAGAAAAAAACATAAGACAAATGCGCAGTTGAACACAAATTAAATACAGGCAATTAGCCAGTTTGTGGCCAGGTGCATGTATTCAGGGGGTCACCTTGAAAACATGTTCCTAGATTGTATGCAAAAAATTATTCAATGATGGAACATCAAAGGAATATGGAAGGAACACTGAAAACAGAGCACCGTGAATAAAAATTAATTTGTTTACAATTTGAAACATAGCAATAAATAGAAGTAGATAAAATAAGACTGAAAAGTCAGAATGACATTCCTCTCAAAATTTAAAAGAACAGTACAGCAAATAATGCTTGTGTGTAAAAATAGAGATTAGAATCTTTTTTCGCTTTTACATTCCCTACCTCTTATTGGCAGAGGAATTTAAAATCAAAGAAGTCATGCTGGCGATGAGCGCAGAGGACGAAAATTTTTGCTGTTTTCCCAGGGACATTCTCTCCACAGAATTGCTAACAATTAAAATTCCCTCTACTGAATAAAATATGATACACACTTACATACTTTTTTATTTAAAACTTTGTACTGTACCCGTCTTATCATGGCCACACTACTTTTACGTTGTACTCGAGTAACGCAGAAGCAGTAGATACAAATACTCTAGACACAAAAAAATCAAAATTTGTACTTCGCTGACGTGCAGTCGGGAAAAATCCAACTTGAAACCAGAGCTGATGGGGACTGCCGTAATCATTGAAATTTACTGTATTCAGTCACATACCGCATAATTCCTAGCCCAGTGTGAGTTGATCCTCGAGAAAAGGGTTAATCCTATCGTATGAAGTCTGGCGTGAGTGATGCATCGCGATAATAACTTGGATATAACCCCGCTCCATCCTAGCTATCACTCACGCATCCGCACCCATTAATTTCGTCCGCGGCCATCATAGGTCAGCCGTTGACGACCTCGCCGACGAAGACCACGAGACCCGAATGTTGATCGAATTCCCGATGCGACCCCGGATAAACACGAACGTGCTCCACGCCAGCAAGACGCCTTCGGAAAGGCGCCCACTGTTCAAACTCATTCGCATGAGCTTCAAAAGGTCCGCCGCACACGAGAATAACCCCGAGCTGCTGCGGGGGAACCCGGATGGTTCCCCGCCGCCCGGCATCCTGAAACCCGGGGAACCATCATCATCGTCAACGTTCGCACTCAGCAGCGGCACAGCACCGAAGCACGTCACTGCTGCTGCTGCTGACTGCTGCGGGGGAACCCGGATGGTTCCCCGCCGCCCGGCATCCTGAAACCCGGGGAACCATCATCATCGTCAACGTTCGCACTCAGCAGCGGCACAGCACCGAAGCACGTCACTGCTGCTGCTGCTGCTGGTGGTGTCGATTTGGATTTGGAAAGCTCGACACCGACAACGTCGGAGTCCGAGTTCGAGCTGGTGGAAATAGGGACCGGAAGATGCGCGTCCGTTGGGAAAAGGTTCGGACGGAACGTTTCCCCACGGAGCAGGATGTGTCTGGAGGGAAACACCGGAAATGTCTGAGAAGAATACGAATGAATCCCTCTTCCTTTCCTCGCAGAAGTATTTTATTCCGTCGAAATTATACGAAGTTCTGACGCAACAACGAGAATGCCGTGCCGAACCACTAGAGTTGTTATTTCCTCCCTGCGCGAATATCTGAAGTCCTGAAAACCGAGATTAAGCGCTTAATCCCAGTATGCATAGGCCTCACTGATTTATTCGGAAAAGCCGCCATGAAATTTGTGTTTTGTGTCGTAAGTTATAGCCGATATTATAGATATTGAAGAACAAATTAACTTTAAATATCCTTCACTCCAGATATAGACGTAAACAACAGACAAGTCCTGCTCTATACAGTACATGCATATACTAACTTCGAATAAAAAACGTTGCACTTAATCTTGAAACGATTTTACTTTATCGATGTCAGAAAATTGTAGCAAGTTCCAACTTTAAAACATTTTTTGTTCAGAAATTTTCCAATTTTTCTGTGACTCGTGGAACGCGATTTTCCAGAACACTTCCCGAATTCGTATGACCTACGTAGATTTTTATTCAAGTCATGTGGCTTGAAAGCGATGTGCAAACCATTCAAGACATCTCCGACTGTTCATAGCAGCTCAGAACTGTGCCAAAATTAAAGCAACAGGGGAGACGAAAAACAGCAGCAACAACAAAATTTCGTAATAAGCCATGAACTGTTCAAGTTGAAATTTTATTCAGATCAATATCGATCAATCAAGTTTTTTTACATTCTCTTTTTAAAGACGCTCGATGCGTCAGAGCTCCTCTACGGTCATTGAAAATAACCGCTGTTTGAGAAATACTTTTGAATTTGATGGTTGCAAAAATGATAATTGGGCGAGGATTGATAAAAAAAAATTTTTAGGCAATCACTTCAATCGTTCAAAAGATTTAAGGTGTCAAGTATATTGCATTTTCTTGGCTCAAAAAATCCTTTCTCAGAATTTAAAACATCATCCTTTAGTTTTTTATCAGCACTCGATGAACGCAAAATTGACCCGCGAAAAAAGCATTTGAAAGTCATTTGAAAACTACGAAAAAGACGAAAGAAGGCAATATTCATTTGGTTGTACAGCACAGTATATCATGTCAAGTTTATCCAATAGCACAATGAATGTTCCGCATTTTCTCCTGATTCTTCAAAATGAAGACATACATGTTGTGTCACGCCATGCGTCGACATAAAAGTCTCATTTTCCCTTCATCTCCCCGTCGTTCTACGTAATACAGTGCATGCTACAAGGATACTGTGCCTAAAACCCAGGAATCTTTTCAACGTCCATGTACTATACAAATGAAGGCGAAACCAAGAATGAAATAGCTTTCAGAAAGCTAAGTTTGAATTTCTTTGCTTTTGAAAACAAAAGTAACATCAATCTGAAAACATGAAAAAGAACTCGATCAGGAGGGGATGAGAAAAATACTGTATGTGACTTTTGTTTTTTTAGCGAATGAAGTTTCCATCCAGTCACACGATACAATGCGTTTTCTTCCGTCTCAAATCTTTCGGATGCCATCGTTGCGCAGATTCAATATAATCTGGAAATTCTTGGTCGAAATTTTAATTTAGGGATTTTTTAAATCGCTCCCTTTATTTCCTGCCGACGAAACTTAAGCCAACCCCGGGCACCACAAAATTAATAAGTTAGACCTCATATATTTCTTTTAGTTTCCTTGAACTGCAGTAAATTTCCGATTAAACCGTGCTCAAATTTTGATTTGCTGAGAATAAAAAATGAAAAATAAATAAAAACAAAAAACCGACGCAGCCCAGAATTTAAATGTGAGCCACTGTTTTTCCCTTTGATAGTAATTTTCTACGCTAATGCCATCAAAAATGTTCGGGGTCTTGATTAACACTGAAACAGCAATGTACGTCAGCTCATTCTTCTTCAATTTATTTTGTCCGTTGAATAAAAACGGTTACGCATGCAGTGAAAAGCAGTAGCATCCGATTATTGTCCGTAATCACGACAAAATACACCCGCTGCTGTCATTATTCCGGATGAATGATCTGAGCCCTGATTAATGTAAAGACACATTTTGCTGAAGCCTATCGAGATTCCCTCGGACGTAAAACGTCTCCCTTTCCTTTCATCCCTCTTCGTCGCCTAATGCCGTTAATGTGCGTCCTACGAGGAAATTGCCCGTGAAATCCAGGGCATGAATTCTGCGACGTTGGCGTAGATCCCTATGCTCCCACCTCCACATCGTTGCGTGCCGTAGGAAACGATCCCAGCCAAGTATGTAACCTGGTCTGGTGACAGGAACATCAGAGGACCGCCGCTGTCACCGCGACACGAGTCCTGATCACCTTCGCCGCCGGCGCAAAGGTGCTGTTTCGAGTCCAAAAAGGCGCCGAATCGGAATCGTTCTACGCAAGAGCTCATGGGCACGAAGGGCACCTTGGCGAACTGCAGCCAGTTGGACCGAACTGGTTCCGCTGTAAAAGGTACGTGAGAAGAAAGAGAATTAATTATATCCATTATAATATAACTAATTCAGCTGATCCTTCATTTGAATTGATGCTACTGGAGTTAAATATCTCTAACCCTTGTGCGGCAAAGTCGGCATATTTTTGCAAAATTTTGTGCCACGGGGCACTGGGAATAAAAAAAAAACCCTACTTTTTTACCAAGGGCTAAGTCAGGAAAAAGTCCAAGATTTTTTTATAATCCTGCAGAAAATTTTCAACAAAAATTTTTAAAAATCCCTGGCTGGGTGGCGTTTTTTCCTGCATTCCTGACAAAGGATTTGCATGGGAAAATCTTGGGAACACAAGAAAATTTGCCTCCCGGATTTTTCCTAACTTAGTCCTCCTCAACCTGGGCGCATTTCAGTAACCTTGGGTCAAACTGAAATGCGCAGCCCCCTGGAAAAATCCGGACTCCACCATGCACTGAGAAAGAACCCTCTGCCGTCCAAGGGCTAAATAAGTTGAATTCCAAAAGACCAGCCCAGAAATTCAACATGAGGAGGTTCTGACTTGTACGTGGGGAGATCTTAAGTTAGATAAAAGGAGTATTTTTGTTGAGGGAAAGATATAAGAATTGCAGGAAATTTTAAATGGTGATATTTTGTGTCTTAAATCGCATCTCAAATAATTTTACAGGATGATGCTGAACTTGAAGGAGGGGCTTCATTTGCCCAATTCATCTTTCACTTTCTTTCAAAATACTGTTACTGTTTTATTGCTTTTCCCTTTTATCTGTGCAGGTGGTGCTTTGCAATTTGACCCTAATCCATTGCTGGACCAGCAGGGTTGAATTGCAAAGCTGTCAAATTGCAAGGCAACATAAAATGCAATGTTCTCTACATGGTATTTGAAATTTTTTCTCATCTTTGTGGGTCAAATTGCGGGGCCTAGGTCAACTTGTGAGTTGACCTCCCAGCAAATTAGACCATCAAATTGTGGGAGATAATTACAAGCTATGTAACACCTGTAGCTAGAAAATACTGTAATAGCAAAAAAGGCCTTGGAAAATTTGAGTTATGCAGGTTTGAGAGGAAAGGCTTTTGGGTTGGAGAGGTTTTTAATGCATTGTCTCTAAGGAAATTCGGACAAGGGCTTGAAAAAATTGTACTTGGGAAGTTATTGACTTCAGGAGGTTCAAGTTACTGAGGTTCAACTGTAATACAGTGGGGACTTTAATGTATAAATGAGCCTAATCCTTTCCAAATGGAAGATTTGTTGTTTGAGACATTTACTGCTAAAATTTAGATTTCCCATACTTTGCACGGAAATATGGGAAATCGATGAATTGTCGTCGTAACAATTAGTAAGGTAAAACAAAGAATAAAGCAAAATTTTAATCTGATGCACACAAATTTCAAAAATTTGCATTTGTTCAGCAATTTTCAAAATTCAGCCACATGCTCATGATTTCCATATCGACTTTCTTCAAAAGCATCTTAATGATCCATGCTTACCTCATTGGCTGTTGGGAATGAAGAAACGAGAAATAATCCATCACATCATTAAGGATTCATCAGTGCAGCCTAACATGTAATACTGAAGAATGTAATTCATCTATAACTTATATACAGTACATTGCTGCTAATTATCATTGAGATTTTCATAAATTTGGCTCACTTGCAGTCGAGCCCCATCCCGCAACAACAAGTGGAGTTTCTTCCGTCAATGAAGATTTCAAATCGAAACCACTTCCTTGGCAAGGGAGGCAAATTGGCATCACACTCTCCCCATCTGCAGAAGAATGCAAATGAAGCTTCATAAGTCAGGAAATGTTCCTTCGCAATAACTTTAGATTATTTTTCAAAGTAAGGTCTAGAAAATCGTCGCAGACCCAATTCCGCTTCCTTGTCCAGCTCGACGACAGCCACATCGAACTTGACAGATCCTTTCGCCACTTCGAAATTCGGATGCCTCGTGATTTTCCTCGGAGAGAATCGCTGCACAGGTTTTGCACATTGCTGAATCTTTGCATTCGTGACACAATCCGGATCGGACAGCAAATTCGTCTCTCCGAGCACTATTTCACTCCTGTGTGTAAAATTAAGCATGAAAGAGCATGTTTATCATTTGAATAGAACGCATCAAATCAGAATAAACGCTTACAAATCGTAGTTGAAGCCAGATAAAGGAGAGGAAGACGCAGTGCGTTTGGTAACGCAGTGTGCAGCCGTAACAACGTGTTTCTTGGTGATCAATGACCCAGCACATAAATGCAATGATTGTTTACCTACAGATAAAACGAAACGATTCTTAATTATTTATATTTTGAAAAATCAAGATTTTTGAAGATTCTAATTGAAAATTAAGGTTTTGAAAAATTAAATTTAAAAAAGAACCTAATTTAAAATAGAATAAAAACAAGCAGTCGAACCTCTTCAAGTCGAACTTCGAGGGACCACCGGATAATTTCGTGACAGGGAGGTTTTACAAATAGAGATAAAATTGTTTAGCACTGAAATAATATACAGTATATCTGCCTTCTTCCCTTCAATGTTGGACACGCTTTCGATGAATATTAGACAATTGCAGCATAGCCGAAACTACTAAACCGAAAAATAATAATGACCTTCCATAGCCACAAACTTTATCCAATACCTACATTGAATTAAACACAAATCGGCATTGACTCAATTACAGGCAACGCTTTTCCTGAAAACAGTGCTGAAAAGCACGTCGCTGTCGATACTTGAAAAACGGGGCATCAATTAATGACCTTAATTCACTCAAAAGGAAAGTTTCATTTCTTTTCAGAGAAGACTACCGTATTACCCAAGAAATGTTAACCTCGATGAAATACTTCACTTATTCCGAAATCATTAAAAGACAACTGTTCACACTGATTTTGAAATAATTGCGAAGAAAAACTGGATAAATTATGCAAAAGAAGTATTAGGAAGGGAATCAAAAACTGAGAAAATACGCGAAAACCAATTTTCAAAATAACTCAGCGCGAGAAAAACAGCCGTCTTTATGCCGAAATTTTACTCGCACTCACATGTGCCCCAGGAAGTTCTTTTTTTAAACTGAAATCTGCTTGAGAATAGGAATCAACGAATCTTTATTCAGACTCACAGCCAATAACTGAGGTGCGTGACTGCATACAGTAGTTTCCATTGTGTATGCAAATCAAGGACAAGGCATGAAATTGATGACTGTGAAAATCAGTTATGCAAAGAAGCTCCTTCACGAAGAAACAAGAAGTATACCCGTACTATTGCGGAGTCTACAAATAGGTCTCCTCAGGGGAAGGTATATTTTGCATGTGATGAAATACATAGGGATAGTTTGAATCAGCACACGCATGTTACACAATCTCACACAACATTAAACATTTAAAAACTTCCGTTATCCTGACCCATTTTCGTTTTTATCTCGTGACTTAATTTTTTAATAATGAGCACCTTCGGATGCGTTTTTAAGCCGTTTTTCGCAGAAAAGTTCTGCTTTTTCGTGTTCTCCGAATTTCAAGTGCAATCGTCTGTTCAAAATCACGGTAAGGCGTATGCTAGGGATTTCAACAAACTTGGGTGAAGCTAATACAGTCGAACCTCTCTAAGTGAAAATTAGGGGAGTTTTGAGTTAGGGATGTTTCGAATTATAAAGGTTTGAGCTACAGTAAAAAGCCTTTTTCTGGAAAACTTGGAAAAACTGCCCAAAATTGTAAATGGTGATATTCTGGTGCTTAAATGGCTTTTTAAATAAGTTCACAGGATGTTGTATTACTTGGAGGCAGGGGATCATTTGCAAAATCCACCTCTTTTAAAAAACCTTAGTTATGTTTTTATTGTTTTTTTTCTTTCTTGGGTTAAGAAAATAATGGCCAACAGGCCACAGAAAATTTGACTTATGGAGGTTTGAGGGTGAAAGCATTCGACTTAGTGAGGTTTTTTAGGTATTGCTTCTAAGGGGATTCAGATGGTGACCTTAAAAAATTCGAGTTAGGGGGGTTTTTGACTTAGGGAGGTTCGTCTGTAGATGCACTGTACTGTATTCGGAAATGTGGCAACATTTCAACGGATATCAGAGAGAAAATGAAAGAATTGTCATAAGTTAGACATGAAAAAGAATGGCCAACATACTCTTACACGGTACAGTATAGTATACCTTCTTTAAAGCACTCGACAAATTCCAGTTGGACGATCAATGATTGCCATAAATTGATGTTTACTGCAATTTCCGAATCTCTAGCTACGTAGATTTGCTCATTGGTACAAATACACCAAAGAAGCACTTGTAATATTATCCAATATGAAAAGATGTGAAATGAATCCTTTGCTTCTTATCTAGAGCATTATCTTTTACACTTCTTTAATTAAATTCTGGATAATGAAATGCTTTACATAAAATACGACGAAATGACATCAAAAAAAAGAGAAACACGAAAACAAACAATTCTATACACAACCAAGATAGAATGGAGCTTCTGTTCATTCGGAAAATTATGCTGGCATCAGCCACATTTCCCACAAATGCTTCGATTCGTATTCGAAGTGAACTATTCATGAAGTCTTACATCCAGAGCAGGTGGGGTACACAATAAACGGGAAAACAAAAATTGTTCGACCTCCTGATCCATTGTGCAACATTCTCATTATGCAAGGCACCTGTTGTGAATTTGTTTCTGGGAGGCATTTCAGCGCCTGAGATTCCAATACTTACATGTTTACCCTTTAAGATTCCGTTGGGACCAGGAAAGATCTTAGCTTATTCCCATGCAGCCCATCTAATTTCTTCTTCTAGGTCTTCTAATTTTTGCAGGCCAGCCATTATCTCTCAAAATTATTGAATTATTATCTTCTATACACGAGGAATTTTTAAAAATCAGTCTTGCTCATTATATTTCAACGCACTTGTCTTCAATATAGTATGACCCCAACATCTTTCGTAAGTGTCTGTTGGCATGGTTTCGTATACCTTTTTGCGACAACCCAGAAATATAATCACTTGAAACGTAGGGCACTTGCATGGGAAAAAGTCTGACCGATTGTTGTTTTTATTCAAAGCCAAAAAGATATTTCCAAATTTTTCTTCGCAACAAACATTACCCAGGAATTTAAAGTCTAACCTTAATAAGCTGCTACCATTTATTTGTGGGGTTTGTGGTGGTTTAACAGGGTTGTTAGTTTAAAGTAGTCGGTGATTCATCAAAAAAGAGTATAATATGGAATAAAATTACCATTATTTTAGGAAAAAATCAGAAGAAATGTGGGGTACGTAAATAATACCTAGTTAATACGTCCCCAAGAATTAAATGGTGTCATATCTATGTTAGTGTTTTATTTTTAAATTGAATACCTCTCCACTACACTTGAATTATGTTGACAGGGTATCGGCGACAAAATTAACTCGCAAGAGCATATTTGAGTTGTCAGTAATTTTGGAGGATGGCGTTTCATGTCTTTCAAAATAAATTGGCGGTTTTCAATGATGGGGGTTTATTTTAGGGCACCTCCCGAATAATTGACTAGAACTACTACAGTCTAAACGATTCTTAATTATTTATATTTTGAAAAATCAAGATTTTTGAAGATTCTAATTGAAAATTAAGGTTTTGAAAAATTAAATTTAAAAAAGAACCTAATTTAAAATAGAATAAAAACAAGCAGTCGAGCCTCTTCAAGTCGAACTTCGAGGGACCACCAGATAATTTCGTGACAGGGAGGTTTTACAAATAGAGATAAAATTGTTTGGTACTGAAATAATGTACAGTATATCTGCCTTCTTTCCTTCAATGTTGGACACACTTTCAATGAATATTAGACAATTACAGCATAACCGAAATTACTAAACCCACAAATAATAATGACCTTCCATAGCCACAAACCTTATCCGAGACCTACATTGAATTAACAAAAAATCGGCATTGACTCAACTACAGGTAACGCTTTTCCTGAAAACAGGGCTGAAAATCACGTCACCGTCGATGCTTGAATTGCAGGGCATCAATTAATGACCTTAATTCACTCAAAAGGAAAGTTGTATTTCTTTTCAGAGAAGACTACCGTATTACCCAGGAAATTTTAACCTCGATGAAATGCTTCACTTGTTCCGAAATCATTAAAAGACAACTGTTCACCCTTATTTTGAAATAATTGCGAAGAAACACTGGATAAATTATGCAGACGTATTGAGAAGGGAATCAAAAACTGAGAAAATACGCGAAAACCAATTTTCAAAATAACTCAGCGCGAGAAAAACAGCCGTCTTTCGGCCAAAATTATACTTGCACTCACCGGAAGTTTTTTTTTCTTTTTTTACTGAAATCTGCCTGAGAATAGGAATCAACGAATCTTTATTTAGACTCACAGCCAATAACTGAGGTGCGTGACTGCATACAGTAGTTTCCATTGTGTATGCAAAGCAAGGACAAGGCATGAAATTGATGACAGCGAAAATCAGTTATGCAAAGAAGCTCCTTCACGAAGAAACAAGACTTACCCTTACTATTGCGGAGTCTATGAAGTGGTCTCCTCAGGGGAAGGTATATTTTGCATGTGATGAAATACATACGTATAGTTTGAATCACATACATGTTACACCATATCTCACACAGCATTAAACATTAAAAAACTTCCGTTATCCTGACCCATTTTCGTTTTTATCCCGTGACTCAATTTTTTAATAATGAGCACTTTCGGATGCGTTTTTAAGCCGTTTTTTTCGCAGAGAAGCTCTGCTTTTTCGTGTTCTCCGAATTTTAAGTGCAATCGTCTGTCCAAAATCACGGTATAAGACGTATGCTAGGAATTTCAACAAACTTGGGTGAACCTAATAGATGCACTGTATTCGGAAATGTGGAAACACTTCAACGGATATCAGAGAGAAAATGAAAGAATTTTCACAAGTTAGACATGAAAAAGATTGGCCAACATAATCTTACACAGTACAATAGTATACCTTCTTTAAAGCACTCGACCAATTCCAGTTGGACGATCAATGAGAGCAATAAATTTATGTTTACTGCAATTTCCGAATCTTTAGCCGCGTAGATTTGCTCATTGGTTCAAATACACCGAAGAAGCAGTGTAATACGATCCAATATGAAAAGATGTGGAATGAATCCTTTGCTTCTTATGTAAAGCATTATCTTTTATACCACTTTAATTAAATTCTGGATAATGAAATGCTTGACATAAAATACGACGAAATGACATTAAAAAAAAAAGACGGAGAAACACGAAAACAAGCAATGCTATACACAACCAAGATAGAATGGAGCTTCTGTTCATTCGGAAAATTATGCTGGCATCAGCCACATTTCGCACAAATGCTTCGATTCGTATTCGAAGTAAACTATTCATGAAGTCTTACATCCAGAGCAGGTAGGGTACACAATAAACGGGAAAACAAAAATTGTTCGACCTCCTGATCCATTGTGCAACATTCTCATTATGCAAAGCACCTGTTGTGAATTTTTTTTCTGGGAGGCATTTCAGCGCCTGAGATTCCAATACTTACATGTTTACCCTTTCCTAAGATTCCGTTGGGACCAGGAAAGATCTTAGCTTATTCCCATGCAGCCCATCTAATTTCTTCTTCTAGGTCTTCTAATTTTTGCAGGCCAGCCATTATCTCTCAAAATTATTGGATTATTATCTTCAATACATGATTTCATTTACCTTTTTGCGACAACCCAGAAATATACTCACTTGGAACGTAGGGCACTTGCATGGGAAAAGTCTGACCGATATTGCTGTTTTTATTCATTTACTGAAAGCCAAAAAGATATTTCCACATTTTTCTTCACAACAATTATTACCCAGGAATTAAAAGTCAAACCTTAATAAGCTGCTATCATTTGTTTGTGGGGTTTGTGGTGGTTTAGCAGGGTTGTTAGTTTAAAGTGGTCGGCGATTCATCAAAAAACAGTATAATATGAAATACAATTACCATTGGTTTAGAAAGCAGTCAGAAGAAATGTGGGGTACGTAAATAATACCTAGTTAATACGTCCCCAAGAAGTAAATGGTGTCAGATCTGTGTTTGCGTTTTTTTTTTTTTTCAAAGTAGATACCTCTCCTATAAACTTGAATTATGTTGGCAGGGTATCGGCGACAAAATTAACTCGCAAGATCATATTTGAGTTGTCAGTAATTTTGGAGGATGGCGTTTCATGTCTTTCAAAATAAATTGGCGGTTTTCAATGATGGGGGTTTATTTTAGGGCACCTCCCGAATAATTGACTAGAACTACTACAGTCTAACCAGTAAAAATTCGACTTAGGGATGCTTTGACTTGGGGAGGATTTGAGTTTAGTGAAAAAGCATTTTTTGTGAAAAACTAGAATTGCAGGAAATGGTGATATTCTGGGCCTTGAATTGCTTCCTAAATGAGTTGACAAGAGGTTGAACTTGGAGGCAAGGGTTCATTTGCCCAATAAGTCTTTAACTTCTTTTCAAAACACAGTGAGTTCCTTTTTATTGCTTTTCTCTTTTCTGTGTCAACAAAATAAAAGCCAAACAGTCCCAGAAAATTCTAATTTTGGAGATTTTATCAGAAAAGCCTTTGACTTACTGTGGTTTTTAATGCATTGTTTCTAAGGGAATTCTCAACGTGACTTGAAAAAAAAAATTGGCTTAGCCAGGTATCTGACTTATTATGGGAGTTCGAGTTATTCCAGGTTCAACTGTGACTATTCTACTCACTTTGTGGCACATTGTATAGGAAAGCTGCCATCCATGGGAACTGGCCCAAAGTAGCATTCACTCCGCCAAAAACCCTGTCGGCAGTTACAAGTCCGCAATCACCGGCCTGTGGATCCAACGGGCATTTATTCCTCTTCAAGGATTCCAGTGTCGGGCTCTTGCTGGTCGATGAGCCAGACTCCAATAATAATTCTTGAAGTTCCGATCCTCGATTGCAGCACACGGAAATGTCTCCTTCGGGGCTCACTTGGCAAATCTCCTCGGCGATCAGCGCATCTGCCAAAAATGGACACGAGTGTCGTTCCACGCAATTTCCGGGACATTCCTTCGGAAGGATGACTTGTAATAAAATAAAAAACAGACGATTCACTTTTTTTTGCAAGGAAAATGATACGCTTTATCGAGTAGTTCGCTTACTTGCTGACGTGACGCAGAGTACAAGCGTAGATAAATTCAATGATGTCAACGGAAAATCACTCAATTTCATGTTTTATATTTCGGCTGATCGCTCCTCAATCCGCACGATCACAAATATATTGGACGAAGCTAAGAATTCGAGGTCAGCAAATCGGAACAGCTTCACTTTAAAGTTTGAAGGATAAGGTCACGGAAATTCCCACATCAGGTGCAGCAGTTTTACACAGTGAACCATAAGGAGTGAAGCGGAATGCGGCCAAGAAGGTAGGGCGAGTCTCGAGCACTGGGGATGTCCAGGTGCAAACCATATAAGGCTCAGCTATAAGATGCTTATCTTATTCTAAGGCCCGACAATCCTCCAGACTCATGACGAGAAAACGAACTTGATCACGATTCTCATTATCAGAAAAAGTAATATCTCGGAACGATGGAAATACTCGTAAAAATGAGGAAAGGCTTTAACGCATTTGTGAACATTTCAGCACGAATGGCTGACCTTTGGGATGATAGTATTGTATTTACTCAAGTACCCACGCGCACTTCTTTTTTTTTTTAAGGAAAAAAGGCGGATGCGCATTGTAGGTAAATTTTCAAATATTTCACAAAGTCACGAAGTTTCAGAAGCTTATGTGTGCATTATACATTTATACTTGACTCCAACGGGGACTTTTTGAACCACTCCATCAGAAAACCTTACTATTATTTGAATTCAGGTTCAAGACATATGCCAAAATTTAAATGCTGGCGCTCTTATTGGAATATTGCAGTTTTAGAATTACTGTATTGAAATGTCTTACCTGGGAATATGCTGTGATTCAATCAAAATTTTTAATCAGAAAAACCTGAGGCGTGCCTAACTCAGGGCCTCAGGGGCACAAGGTACTTCCGTACACGCATGGTACTTTTAATTAAAATCCTGTCCCGAATCACTGGGAGAAAAAGAAAAGTTTCTGATCTTTGAAGAAGTCTAAGACATTTTATTTTGTGATTTTGCTTGAACTTCCTATTAATCAACACAAAAATGGCGCAAAAACGGATTCGATGACATTCGCTGCAGGTTTCCTCAAGGAAACTTTCCAATCAGTTGTCACAATAATATTAAACAATATTACAATATTTTATCACAATATTTAAAAATCTGTAAAATAAAATTCAAAGGGAAAGAAAAAATTCGTTGCAGAAATTCTTTTGTTGTGCTGAACCTTGATGTGGTATAGGAAGCCCTTATCGGACCACGAAAAAATTCGTTACACACAGCAGAGAAAATCGTTGCTGTACAGAAAGTCTGCCTGTATTTATTATTTTACCGGGAAGCTTGAAATCGTGACGAAATGACAGAATTCTAAGTTTCCTTTTACATTTCAGGCATCTTTCCTTTTTTAAATTGTGTTGGCCAGACGCATTATTGTTGCACTCGACCTGAGAATCTAACAATCCGATGCGCCATCAAATGGAAAACTGATTCCTCTCTTGCCAATTATAAAAACTGTCTCAGGGTTATCGTACACACCGTTTCCTAAAACCAGATAATGAGCAACTTTCAGCATAAAATGAAACTTTCAATTTTTCTTCTGCGAAATGATTGCAACTTATTCGAAGAGACAATTTAAATGCTTCTCTGAAGATAATCAGAACTTCAGAACGTTCAAACATTCTATTTACATCCACCGAAAGTACAGCACTTCCGAAAACGAAGCTATTGTCAGCTACAAACAGCTGGCTAGGAATTTTAAATAATTGGCACGAAATGCAGTACTGCTGTATATAGATAAATATTTATTAATTCTCGAAAATACTCGAGTTCGGAATATCAGCTGCACGTGAGATCTTCGCTTGTCTGCGTTGCAGTGGAAATCATAACTACAGGCGCTCGGCTAGATGTCAGTGCCAACCCAGATAACTCCGTATTTGACGCGTTCGTCACCCAGCGGGAATCGCCTATGAACGCGTGGTTGCTGAACTGTCGGTGATTTCTGTAGGATCCATTATTGGGAACGACTTCGTCGTACGAAGGCGGAGGGGCTGTTTGCATCGCGTGGCGTGACGACATTCCAGAGCTTCGAGACGAAACTCCATCCATATCAAGCGCATTAACCTGGAAAACGAGTGTAATTATAATAAATCAATTAAACAATGAAATGCTGTATGCCTTCCGGCAACAGCAAGATCACACGATCACAGTTGTGCACCGCGTTTCCCAACATATCCATCGACGCATCGACGTTTCAAGAATCGACGTATATCCATCGACGTACATCAGATCGGCTTCCTTGTTCAGATGTTCATAAAAATAGAGCCAACGGACTTTATTTGTACAATTATGAACCAAATTCAATTGCTCCATATATTTATAGAGATCCTACGAAAAAAGCGTACGTTACAGCGTGAATGCAAGGTATAACCTTAAAATCTTAAAATTTCTTCTTCTTCAAAAAAGAAAAGTCATCAATTTACAAGAAGACAAACAAATCCTGGTGAAATGCGGTCAATATAAAAATGTTTACAGGATAAAACAAATTATGAAATTTCTAACCCGGCCCCTTTCGCCACCTAAAACAAGTGTTGTACTGTATTTACTCAAGTACTGTATCACAGAAACATTTNATCGAGTAGTTCGCTTACTTGCTGACGTGACGCAGAGTACAAGCGTAGATAAATTCAATGATGTCAACGGAAAATCACTCAATTTCATGTTTTATATTTCGGCTGATCGCTCCTCAATCCGCACGATTACAAATACAGTATATTGGACGAAGCTAAGAATTCGAGGTCAGAAAAACGGAACAGCTTCACTTTAAAGTTTGAAGGATAAGGTCACGGAAATTCCCACATCAGGTGCAGCAGTTTTACACAGTGAACTGTAAGGAGTGAAGCGGAATGCGGCCAAGAAGGTAGGGCGAGTCTCGAGCACTGGGGATGTCCAGGTGCAAACCATATAAGGCTCAGCTATAAGATGCTTATCTTATTCTAAGGCCCGACAATCCCCCAGACGCATGAGAAAAGATTCCCATTATCAGGAAAAGTAATATCCCGGAACGATGGAAATACTCGTAAAAATGAGGAAAGGCTTTAATGCATTTGTGAACATTTCAGGACGAATGGATGTCCCTTGGGATGATAGTATTATATTTACTCAAGTACCCACGCGCACTTCTTTTTTTTCAAGGAAAAAAGGCGGATGCGCATCGTAGGTAAATTTTAAAATACTGTATTCCACAAAGTCACGAAGTTTCAGAAGCTTATGTGTGCATTATACATTTATACTTGACTCCAACGGGGACTTTTTGAACCACTCCATCAGAAAACCTTATTTTTATGGAAACGACTTAAGATTAGTTGAATTCAGGTTCAAGACATGCCATAATTTAAATGCTGGCGCTCTTATTGAAATATTGCAGTTTTAGAATTACTGTATTGAAATGTCTTACTTGGGAATATGCTGTTATTCAATCAAAATTTTTAATCAGAAAAACCTGAGGCGTGCCTAACTCAGGGTCACAAGGTACTTCCGTACATGCATGGTACTGTACTTTTAATTAAAATCCTGTCCCGAATCACTGGGAGAAAAAGAAAAGTTTCTGATCTTTGAAGAAGTCTAAGACATTTTATTTTGTGATTTTTCTTGAACTTCCTATTAATCAACACAAAAATGGCGCAAAAACGGATTCGATGACATTCGCTGAAGGTTTCCTCAAGGAAACTTTATCAGTTGTCACAATAATATTAAACAATATTACAATATTTTATCACAATATTTAAAAATCTGTAAAATAAAATTCAAAGGGAAAGAAAAAATTCGTTGCAGAAATTATTTTGTTGTGGTGAACCTTGATGTGGTATAGGAAGCCCTTATCGGACCACGAAAAAATTCGTTACACACAGCAGAGAAAATCGTTGCTGTACAGAAAGTCTGCCTGTATTTATTATTTTACCGGGAAGCTTGAAATCGTGACGGAATGACAGAATTCTAAGTTTCCTTTTACATTTCAGGCATCTTTCCTTTTTAAAATTGTGTTGGCCAGAAGCATTATTGTTGCACTCGACCTGAGAATCTAACAATCCGATACGCCATCAAATGGAAAACTGATTCCTCTCTTGCCAATTAGAAAAACTGTCTCAGGGTTATCGTACACACCGTTTTCTAAAACCAGATAATGAGCAACTTTCAGCATAAAATGAAACTCTAAATTTTTTTCTGAGAAATGATTGCAACTTTTTCGAAGAGACAATTTAAATTTTTCTCTGAAGAGAATCAGAACTTCAGAACGTTCAAACATTATATTTACATCCACCTAAAGTACAGCACTTCCGAAAATGAAGCTAATGTCAGCTACAAACAGCTGGGTAGGAATTTTAAATAATTGGCACGAAATGCAGTACTGCTGTATATAGATAAATATTTATTAATTCTCGAAAATACTCGAGTTCGGAATATCAGCTGCACGTGAGATCTTCGCTTGTCTGCGTTGCAGTGGAAATCATAACTACAGACGCTCGACTAGATGTCAGTGCCAACCCAGATAACTCCGTATTTGACGCGTTCGTCACCCAGCGGGAATCGCCCATGAACGCGTGGTTGCTGTACTGTCGGTGATTTCTGTAGGATCCATTATTGGGAACGACTTCGTCGTACGAAGGCGGAGGGGCTGTTTGCATCGCGTGGCGTGACGACATTCCAGAGCTCCGAGACGAAACTCCATCCATATCAAGCGCATTAACCTGGAAAACGAGTGTAATTATAATAAATCAATTAAACAATGAAATGCTGTATGCCTTCCGGCAACAGCAAGATCACACGATCGCAGTTGTGCACCGCGTTTCCCAACATATCCATCGACGCATCGACGTTTCAAGAATCGACGTATATCCATCGACGTACATCAGATCGGCTTCCTTGTTCAGATGTTCATAAAAATAGAGCCAACGGACTTTATTTGTACAATTATGAACCAAATTCAATTGCTCCATATATTTATAGAGATCCTACGAAAAAAGCGTACGTTACAGCGTGAATGCAAGGTATAACCTTAAAATCTTAAAATTTCTTCTTCTTCAAAAAAGAAAAGTCATCAATTTACAAGAAGACAAACAAATCCTGGTGAAATGCGGTCAATATAAAAATGTTTACAGGATAAAACAAATTATGAAATTTCTAACCCGGCCCCTTTCGCCACCTAAAACAAGTGTTGTACTGTATTTACTCAAGTACTGTATCACAGAAACATTTTTTCTCTAAAATTAAACTTAGATCGTGCCATTATGTGAGTCAATTATACAGTTATTTTGCAATTTTTTCTTTGCGCATCATTCGAACAGTTTTAGTGAATAAGTTTCTTCAAATTTTTACTGCTGGGAAGCTGCCCCGTTAAAACTTAGATCGTGCCATTATGTGAGTCAATTATACAGTTATTTTGCAATTTTTTCTTTGCGCATCATTCGAACAGTTTTAGTGAATAAGTTTCTTCAAATTTTTACTGCTGGGAAGCTGCCCCGTTTTAAGTACGAATTCACAACAGTTAATAAAAACTTTTAATACTTTTATTTTGACCAGAATGATGACGCTCACGGAAACATTTGAAGGTGCTTTTTTTCCAAGCAAACAGTCCTTACTGCAACTTGGTTCAACATGAAGAGACCGTATTATTTACTTATGCTGGTCTTAATTTACAGTACAGTGGCCTTGAGCAACGAACATAATCCCTTCCAGATGCTGGATTGTTGCTCCAAATGCTTGTTGTCCAAGTCAGAATTTCCTATAGTTACCTATGGGAATTAATTAATTTGTTCCAGACAGCTTAATTCCTATGGTAAATTCAGAGAAACTTGCTTTAAAATTAATAATGCAAAAAAAGAGTAACCATGAATAATTGTAACTTAAAAATGATTTGTAGTGTGAGTTAACTGAAGGCAGAAAGTGCATTAAAATTAACTTTTAATTATAATTTACTCTCAAGTCATGATTGAAAGGGCGTTCGTTCCTCGATGAGGACCCACTGCAATACCCTGGGTTTCTCTTCTCAGAATTCGCTCAACCATAAAAAAAAATGTTTCCTTCCATATCCCTTTGTTCTCCGCATGACTCACTCACAGTCAGCACAACAGGTGAACATTCCTCCCAGACAAGGCGTAGCCATGTACGCAATAAGAAAAACAAAAAGAAAAAACCCTCACCCCAATCCCAGAACCCGGTTGCAATTGACGTTGACGCATCCGGCGTTGGGTAGCGACGAACATGATTCGAGCCACGAGAATCGACGCCAGACCGACGATCGTCAGGGTCACTCCGCCAACCACCAACAACTTGATCCCCGCACTCTGTTCTTTCGCATCCTGGCCTCCAGTGCCAAAATAATTGAGGAAATGATAACCCCCGAGTAATGTTAGCAGAATCCCAGCTGTCGTTTCCGTCGCACCGACCCACAAGAGCATTTTGACGAAAAACAAGCGCGGATGCACCCTCGATTCCGGAAGTCCAAGTTCGTGGTCGGATTCATTCGGACGCCACATGTTTGCTTCTGTTCGGTTTTTTTGTTTTTGTTTTTTTTTTAAAGCTGGAAACTTCACATTGCTTTCAAGCTTCGCGATAATGCTTTTGCAGTATCTATTGATGGAATATTGAGAATTCGCATACCGTATTTTATTGAGTGCCAGCTTCGAGCAAGAGGTGCATCTCAATCTTTTGGCACAGAATTTGAAAAAATGAAAAAATAAAATGAACATGCCCTGTGTATGACGTGCACTCAAGTTTTTGCTGGTTGAAAACCTTTTTTTTTCTTCTTTTCATAACCATGTACAGTATTACTAAATATTCAGGTAATTATCATAAAACTGTACCTTGAAGCGATATAAGAGAATAATAAGTACGAAAATTAATGCCGTGTTCATTATTTTCTCCTTTTCAACGACTGTCGTCTGGCTCATGATTTTTTTTTTTAATTTCTACCCGCATACAATCACATTCACTTTTTCGCCTTAATTTTTCAGAAAAAAGGCTCGTGGTACTTGGTTAAATACTTTAATAACAGTTATGTTCTCACGATAGATTTAGTATCAAGTCTTTCATGACAGGTTGTCTTTGCGCCGATAACTGATTATTTTTGAAAATATTTATTCGGCGAGTATTTTATTAAAATTCGAATATATTACTAGGAACGATTCCTTTGATGCCCCTGGAAATCCAGCTGAGACGTATTAGTCAAGAAAATCAGTTGATCAAAGGAAAAAAGAGCGGTTGGACTTGAAATTTTTAGAGATGAAATAAACTGCTTTGTTTCCTCGGCTCACTGGCCCGGAATTCAGTCATGGTTAATCAGATATCTAGGAATTTCGAGATTCGTTGAACAGTTTTTTTTTTTTTCAAATCCGAGGCCCCGAGATTTTATGCGACGAATGCTTGTCACTCGAACAGCAGTCGAAAATAAATAGATTATCAATTTAATTGTTCATAAATCAGATGACTTGTACTCGCGTTAAATCTACGAAGTAACGCGCAGCAGGAAGTCACGTAGTTGTAAAATTGACAAAATTTAGGCAAAAGACGCTTATTGTTCCAAGTTACATCGAAACTTCCGATAGAATGACTCAAGAGGGATCAATTATTCAGTAATTTTAGTATAGCGGAGTTAAAGCCAGACACCGAAAAAACAATAAAAAAACCTTCCACAAGTTGAGTCGTTATAAATTTTGTCAAATGGTGTGTTATGAAAATATTAATCTTTATTCACTTGGAAACAACTGTGAAATCAAAGTTAAATCTCACCAATTGTCTCCCGCGTGTGGGACATGAAGTAATTCGCTTTGTTTTTTTCATTTGGGCTCAATGATTTGAAAACGCTGGTTTTTTCCACCTTAAAAAATCACGAAGTATTCCACTCCTAATTTCTCGATGCAGTACTTTTATATTATTGTTCTTTCATTTTGATTGAAGATACATGTACTTTCTTTATGTTTCGGCCCTATTCGGGAAGATTAAGCATGGAAAATTTGAAATGTGTTTAGGAAAATAAAATTGTACTCTTGGGACTCGGAGAAATGTGTGTACAGTATTTAAATTGCAGCAGAGATTTTTGGACAGACAATAACGAATTTTTGAACAGACACAAAAACACACGCAAGGTTTTAGTTTCAGCAGTCTACCAAAAATCGAAAACAAATCGAATTTTCAAAATGTTTTGGGGCGCAGTTCTGCGAGATCCACTTCGTTTCTCGTCCTTTTCGGTTATGCAGTAAAGTTGATGCACCACTGAAAATTAAATCAATCCGGATGTCATTAAACATATATTTCCACCAATACAAAAAAAAATGTTGCGTTCCATCGCTGGAATAATTTCAATGATTCACAAAAGAACAACAAATGTCTACTTCCCGAAAGTCACGCAAGATCTCGTCTTACGCAACGTTCATCGCAATTGGCTCATTTTCCTCAAAGCTTTTCTTCTTGCTCCCTCATCGTCCCGAATTCCATCATTTTCAGAGCTGATCAGTAGCTTATCTTCTAGAATAAGCTAATTACAAATATAATCTTATCTTTTCGTGGATGGAACATGAGGCTGATCTCGCAACATTTATAATCTCTCCGAAATCTAACGTTAGTCACCCGATAGAATTTTAGTGAGAATATTTTGCCACCACTTCACTCAGCTGTGCTTCACAAAAACCGCGTTTTGAAGAGTACAGTATCGAAGTCAGGACTGAGACTTCGGTCGTTGACTTGGTAACAGTTCGTATTTCCGACCAAATCGAGATTCTTGAAATTCTGATTGAGAAACTGCGTCAAATTTTGCACACTCGCTTATCTGATTTTTCGAGCATTTTCAGTTATCTGCGGTTTAGTATCTACTCTTATGCGCAGTGTCGCAAAATTTTCGATCAGTGAGATTTATAGGAGAAACGGAAAAACATTTGAATGTGACGTGATGAAAAAAGTACTATTTCACTGATCATCGAGTGAGTTTATAGTTCAATAGAAACTTGAAAGTGCAATCCGACGCGTTTCGTCAATATGAAGCTGGAAAAAAGGTTATGTAATGGGATATAAATTATATCTGATAAATGGGCAAAAAGGCATAACAAAATATGCCATTATAATCTCAAAGCGGCGTGTATCCATCCTGTTCGATTGATGCAAGATTCGCAGATGGAAATTGTATTGTTTCACGCAAATACTGTACACAACTTTTACCATAACTTTTCAAGTGGGTCGTTGATCTTTGTTGAACTCCGAAAAAATAAGACGATTAACTTAGTTTTCAATCGTCGCATGACGAATGGTGCAAATGATGCAAAATATTGCTTCGAAATATTTTTTGAGGGAGCAGTTTTTTGAATGAGCCGTATTAATCTGTGCGATTTACCTTATCTTTGTACTGTATCATAACGAATAATTCTTAAATTATAAAATGTTGACTATATATGCAGTATAACCAAGGCTTCAATGCCGAATATCGGCTGAGGAAAAAAATAGATCGAGACAGTAACCTGAATTAATTAAATCCCAGTAAAAAAAACGGCAGCAAAAAACTAATCAAAGCTAAAACTGTTAAGCATGAATACTATGTAGAAGAGTGACACAAATACGGAAGTTATTTGAAAGTTGTGGAAATTACTCATAAAATGCCATCATATCCAAATGGAAGCTGTTGAATAACCTTCAAGCAAGTCATTTTTGAAAATTGGTGAATGTTTGAATGTGAGACTAAAATAAACTGAAAAAAGAGTTCGTGGACCCGTTCTAGGAAAGTTTGAATCATGCTCTGCGATGTTCATTGATTCAATTACTTTCTGTGAAGGTTGCCATAATAAAAAAAAGGAAAATTGAATATGAATAACCCCCATGCTGAGAAAAATTTTACAGAAAATGCTTGACCAGCCACAGAACACTGGGGAAAATTCGTTGGAATAAGATTTTCAATTTGGAGGCACTTTGTCAAGAAAGAATCAACAGAAATACGTGATGTATTTTAAAGATTATTTTTCAAGCCATACATGTCAAATGAATAAGGCAAAAAATATTATGCAGTGAGACCCTGAGATGCAGATGTAATTGGTGCATCAAGAGTGTCCCTAAGTCAAAATTTCCCTAAGTTGAGTCTCATTTTCCCTAAGACTTACATGATATAATTTTTAACTGTCGTTTTATGTACAAAAATACTCACCTCACAATATGCGCATTTGGGGAATGGAATGCTGATACCTCTGTACAGTACATATAAATGTTTGCATTATCTGTAAAAATAACATTCAAGGGACAAAGAGAGAAGGAAGTCCATCTATGCTGGAGGTAATTTTTTAAAATTAGCTAAATGGATGGTAAATTGGTAAGAGAAATGCCCACAAACTTTTCTTACCCCAATTTTATGGTTGGAAATATCTGTTTCTTGTAATTTGGCCTGAAATGTATTAGCAATTTTATCACAAAATGTCTGTATGTTGACTTGTTGAGTCAGTGTCCTCATGTTGGGCCTTTTTTATTAATTTTTTATGGGAAAATAAGTGTCCCTGTGTCAAATTTTCCACAGGTTGAGGTGTCTGCATATGGGGGTCTCACTGTATGTGTGGTTTTTTCAATTCTTCATCAGTTAATTCAGAGCAGAAAATTATCTTGAGCTCACAAAAATAGTCAAACTAAATTACCCACCATCAACTTAGTCTCCACCTTTAAGCTTTAACCTTCTCAATAACAGTATAAATAGGCGATTTGCATAACAATGATTGATTTGGTTATTTCATTTACGGTCCTCCATCTCATCAGCTCCTTACTTTAGCTCAGTTGAATTTATTCTTCAACTGGCAGAATCAACTTCAGCCTCATCCCTGTTGAAAACACGAAAGGAGGGATTTCTGTGATGAGCGAAAAATTTTACCAAAAACTGACGCATGATCCACGCCAGATGAAGAAGAAAACAATAATTATGAGACTCGCGGAGATTAGACTTTTCCTTCCGTAAGCAAGTATATAGGAACTGCGCAAAAGCATTTGATGACGTATAGGCGCGTGGGCGTATATAAAGGTCGCAAAACGACGCGGTATATAGAAGAAACATTGGCCATCATATGTTACATCTTGGTCTTGATGGTTAACCGTTCCGGTTAAATCTCGGGGACGAAACCCAGACGTAGCGACTCCGGAATTGCGCATTATTTTCCTGGCTCACGAGACAATGACCTTGAACCCTCATATTTTTTGCGTATTGCGCCTCGTCTCGTCCGCGGCCCCCGGGATTCGTGCTCCAACTCGTCTTGGGCCCGCGGGTTACTCGCGTGTGTGCGTGTTTGTGTAGGCGGTAGGCGTGACGTCAAAAAGCCCTGCACCTGACTATCGAGGATTCTGTGCGAAAGAGTCATTCGCTCCTGAACCCCGGTGGGGTCGCTGGGCGGAATTTAAAACCGCAGTCATAAACAGTGGGTTGCGAACTTTCTATCCAAAACAAACGGTTCATGAGGGTGGTCGTGTTGTGTTTCGTGGTGTTATGTCCCTGCGGCATCTTCGACTGCTGGTGGCTATCGTGATTTTTTTTTTCGCGGTGGAACATTTGCATTCGTTTCTGGCATTTGAGGAAAGTTCGTAAGTTTTTTTTTTTATTCGTTGCTTTGAAACGGACGAT